TTTTCTTTTTTTCTCCTCGCACTCGTATCTTTTTCTCAATCCCCATAGCTTTAATTATTCTCCGTTCAATTTATAATCGCGGAGACCACGCGTGAGGTACATATATTCAATAGGTATAAATTCTACTCGGATAATTGGATTTTCTGTATTGACGAATAATCGAGCCTATTGTACGCTTGATTGCACAATGATGAGTGACATACGGTGACCTTACGTCCTCGATTATCTCGATAAGGAGATACATTCGATGATACCTTATATGTATAATTTGTATTCGTTATATGCGATTTATTTATTTATTTATTTATTTATTTAATTGTATAATGCAGATAAATAATTTACTCGTATGATTGTTAAATTAATTTCGACAGATACGTTCGTACGATCTCTTTTATTTAATAAATTAATTATTTCCTATTTTCTTTCTTTCATTCTTTCCATTTTCTTTTTGTCAATTGATGTTGCAAATACACTATTTCAGTTTTCTTTCATTTTTCTTTTTTTTATTTTTTATTTTTTTGCATGAAGCTCGGCACTCGTTAATCCTACTACTACGAATACTCTCTCTCTCTCTCTCTCTCGCTCTCCTTCTCGAATGTTGGACACGAAAATATTTTTTGCAAAAACAACCTTGACCCGTCGATAAAAAAAAAGGAATAAAAAAGAAAAGAGAAACAAACAAAAAGAAAAAAAAAAAAAAAAAGAAAAGGGATAGCTCTGAGAACGAAAACACAAAGAGGAAAGGAAGAAAGAAAAAAAGAAAAAAAAGAAAAAAAAAAAAAAGAAAAAAAAAAGAAAAAAAGAAAAAGGCACGAGTATGAACATCGAGTTTGCACGTAAAGATTTATCTAACGATTCAATTTGACTATATACTTTTAACGATTTAACATTATCGTGGAAATTATCGTGCCATCTTAAATATAGTAATCAAAGACGATGAACGTTTCTATACTGTTAGATACGTCTATTAAATCACGAACCAATTCTCTTTTACAATGTTTTAAGACAACATCATTGGGAAATTTTAATAAAACGATCATGTTCGTTCGATATTGTTAACGACGGCAACGGAGATTAACGAGCTCGACGTTTATAAAAGTTTGAAAAAAGGGCTTTGAAAAGGGAAAGAAAGAGAGAGAAAGAGAGAGAGAGCTATAGATCAGACTCATGAATGAGTTTTTCTATACTTGGTGAAAATAATAACGAGAGAAAGGAAAAAAAAAAAAAGAAAAGAAGAAAAAATAAGTTAGATATAAATATTTATGAAAGATCGTGAACAATATCTAATTGTTTACAAATATATATTTCATTAATTTTGTTTTTCATTAATATCAAGGGGTCATCGATTTCGTTTTCTTTTTCTTTTCGTTTTTTTTTTTTCTTTCTTTTTTCTCTTTTCTTTCGAACGAACGAATGACGATAAATAAATATTTAGATAGGTGCCATCAATCGAGACGATAATGTTGGACGTGTCCTCGAAACGTCCAAGTCTACGTTCAATTTATCCGGCCTATTCTCTTATAACTCGGTCAAGTCGATCCATGTATATGGATACAATATAACAATTTTCTCATTCCTTTATCAAACGAGAAATAATATAATCTTCAATTTAAAAAATGTTATTTTCTACATTAAATCGATCGAATCTTTTGTTCGTCGCCGTCGCCACGATTGAAGAATTTTTTTTTTCTTTCTTTCTCTCTCTTTTTTTTTCCTTTCTTTCTTTCTTTCTTCCTTTTTTTTTTTTTTTGGTTTATAAGCTTTACTCAAGCAACAAAAAAAAAAGGAAAAAAAAAAAAAAACAAAGAAATCATCTAAATAAAAATTATCGAAAAACAAAACGTGCAATAAACTTACGTTTATTATCTTCGGATAAAATCAATCCTTTTTTTTTTCTTTCTTTTTTTTTTTTTTTTTTTTTTTTTTTTTTTTTTTTTTTTTTTTTTTTTTTTTAATATGACGATAAAGAATATAAACAATTTTGTCTGGCATTGCTTATCAACAAAATTATCTATCCGATAATATGTGAAATAAACTTATGTTTATCTCATCGTAAAATCAATTTCTCGATACGACGATAAAAAAAAAAAATTATAAATAATTTCGTTGCATTATTCAATAAAAATTATTATCCATATGATGAAACATATGAGAAATTACGTTTATCTCCGTCTCTTTCTTTTTTTTTTTTTTTTTTTATTAACAAATACTTTCTATTAACAAATAAATAAATATATAAATATATATCTATCTCTTTCCATAACATTCTCCCATTCATTTAATTCATACTTAGACGGATATTAATTACGACGGGTTTGCAGAGTTGAAAAAAAAAAAAAGAAAATGAAAAAGAAAGAAAAGAAAAGAAAAGAAAAGAAAAGAGAAGAGAAGATAAAAAGAAAAAAAAAAGGAGGAAGAGAGAAAAGAAAAAATGAAAAAAAAAAAAAAAAAAAAACTTAGGTCACTTTAATAAATGAAATTGCACACAGAGAAAAAGGTT